CTTTTAGCATGGTAGATTGGATGATATTTGATTTAGAGGGTGTCCAAATGGGAACTTATGAAATGATAATGAAGTATAGAAATCATCTAGTTAATGATGTTATAGAAAGATTAACATTTCCTCCTCGAATAGATGTTCAGAGCCATGATAAACATTTTAGAGAGAAAAATTTGAAGAAATACTCCCAGGACAAACAATTAATGCAAATTACACAACTTCAGTTTCACAAAGTAGTAGTAAGGCATGACAACAGATATATATAACCCTGGATTTTTAAAATATAACCTAAAGTGATTTACTCCAGATGGTGTCCACTATATGATTCAAATGTTAATGAATGAAAAACATTTATTAAGCACTTACTATGTGCCAAGGGTGAAATTAAAAGGCATTCCATAAGCAATATCAATATGAATTTAACCAACAATATGTTGATAAAGGAATCAAACAAACGGCTTAACTGTTCATATTTTTTATAGAAATAGAATGCTTTATGATGGCTATTCAAGCCCAGCTTATTGCTGCAAAAGAATGTATGCAGCTTGGAGTGAGGAACACTGCTTTCCCTGAGAAAAGTATATTTCTACCAATTTCTACAGGGTCTGAAAGCCATAATGATAATTACTTCAAAGTATCATTGTGAAGAAAATGCTTTCTAAACATTATAGATCTAAAGAAATGTGAGCTATCATTATTATAGTATTATCTTGTACTTCCCCTCTGTTTACCAGATACCTTATGTATCTGGCCTCAGATACATAACACTTACTAGCTGTGTGACCTTGGGCTTTACTGACATGCATATTTACAGTGAATGATAAAAACTATACAACATATCATTTCGAGTTGCACCTACCAGTTACATGGAAAAACATCAGCTGGTGACCAGAATTATGCATTAGAAAATAGATTTACTTTATGAACTAACAGATGAAAAATCCCTAAAACATCCTCAAGAATTCAGCAAATGAACTGTATTGGAACTAGAGCATCATTACAGAAAGAATCATTGCCCATATTATTTCAGGCACAGCTGTTAGCCACAACTTCATAGGCATGACATTGATCTACAAACATTTAAATTTTTTTTTTTAATTTTTAGAGATCAGATCTGTGTATCTTGCTTGTGCTGGAAGTAGTGGCCACACATAGACCCAATCCTAATACTGATCAGCACAGAGGTTTTAACCTGCTTTTTTTGGACCTGGCCCAATCCTTACCTCCTTGGGTTACATGGTAGCCTTCCATTTCTGTAGGATCACCATATTGGTGTTAGACTTAGTGCCAACATCCAATTAGCTTTAGCTTTACTTTAGCTTAGAACTTCTAAACTCAAGCCATCCACAAGCCTTAGACTCCCTGGTAACAAGAACTACAGATATGTGCCTCCAAGCTTAGAAAGAACATTTTTTTTTATCATGTTGGCGTACTGTACACTCATAATTTCCAAACTACATGGAATATAAAGCTTTCAAAATATAAAGACTTAGTGGAAGAAATCAAACTGTATGGTAAGAGGAAGGGGCAGGCACTATTGTGCTGGAGTCATCCTAAAGTTCCTTCAGTGAGTCTTTAGAAAATGGTTTTACATCTCAAAAATTGTAAAAGGCAGCTATTTTATCTGTGTTGCACAGTAGCCCACAGAATATTAAATATAAAACAACAATAGCAGAATAAGACTTGTCCCAGGACCACAAAAAATGAAAAGAATAAACATTTATTAAATGCTTACCATGTGCTTAGTGCTAGAGGTAAAAGTGGCCCTTTATCTCAAGGAGATTACATTTTAATGCAGAAGACAACTTATAAGTAGATAGGCAAACATAAGATAAATAATGAGTAATGTAAAATGATTAGTGTAAGGTAAACAGAGGGGAAATAAAAGATAATACTATAATAATGATAGCTCACATTTCTTTAGATCTATAATGTTTAGAAAGCATTTTCTTCACAATGATACTTTGAAGTAATTATCATTATGGCTTTCAGACCCTGTAGAAATTGGTAGAAATATACTTTTCTCAGGGAAAGCAGTGTTCCTCACTCCAAGCTGCATACATTCTTTAGCCATAGTACTAATTGTAGGAAGCCTCTGTGTGAAGCAGCTATTTCTTCAGTTGCTATTATTCATTTTTATGGTTGCCTTGTGACATTGTCCCTTTACAATAAAGTTAAAGGAAACTGTCAAAACATTGTACTTTAGCCCCAAGCATTAGATAACTTCACTGCAGAGCTGGTGAGGTGATGACTTTTTTTTTTTTAAATTAAAACCCTACTCTTAGGAATAATTAGAGGCAAAGATCCCAAAGGCAAAGGAACCATGAAGAGTTACTGGCAAAGAGATTGATCATTACATTACAGTGCTATGGATAAGAATTTTAGTGTAATAATTAAGTTCACTAAAGTATTAGGAACTTACAGGCCAATTTGGAAAATAGTAGTTGTTCTATTAACACTTAACTAAAAATATTTTATTATGACCTTGACAAATTCTCACATGTGAATATTTCTATAGGCAAAGAATAACAGAAAGAGAATTGCATATAAAACCATGCAGTATTACTTACTGTATGATTTTTAAAAATAAATATTTAGAATGATAGTACCAGCACTGCTTTATTTGTCAGAGTCCCCTTTTGAATTTCCTTCTCTATTTTGTGCTTTTAAAAAAAGTTTCCATTACCACTCTTTTAATTCTTTTCTCCTTTCTTAATTGCATTATTACTACCCTTCCAACCCCACACAAATCTTCCTATCTTCAAATAAAAGCCATGTCCTGTAACAAAATATATAATCATGATCTATAAATACTTAGGTCAATAGAATGCTAACTGGAAGGGATACTGTGTATGGTGAGTATTGTGAACAATGGTAAAAGAATAAGGGTGAGAAGACTAGATTTTTCAATTTTTCATTGCTTTTGCTTTTCGTACCAAGAAAAATGGACTAGAAAACTAAGAAAAAATGGTTACCAGGTATTGGAAACTCTCTAAAAGTGAGAAGATGATCAGGCTGCATACAGCTTTAAATGAGTTCAGATAACTAGGACCTCCTCCTAGGATACTGAATTTTATCATATGATGATAAAAATGACTAGCATTTATTTCAATCTTTGAGTTTTAGAAAATGTTTTACATATATTGTGTCATTTGATCTTCCCAACAGCCCTCTGAGGAGGATACTATTGTCATCCCCATTTTCAGATGAGGAAACTGATAGTGAGAGAAGTGAAATGACTTGGATAGGATCACTCAGCAGCTAAGTGTTAAAGGGAAGATTTGACTTCAGGTTTTCCTGACTTCAAGTCCAACAATCTAGTTACTGTGCCATGTAGCTGCCTACATAGATGTGACTGCTGAACCATTTTCAGTAGTCTCTGAAAAAATCTTTGTAAATTGCAAAGTGTCATAAACCTGGAGGACAAACATACTCATTTTCTAAAAGAGGGGGAGGGAAAGGTGAACTCTATGAAACATGCATCAGCAAATTTGACTTCTATTCTTAGTAACATTCTAGAATGCATTATCAAAGGAATGGCTTATGAGCACTTAGAAAGAGCGACTTTAAATGTTTCTAATAGCATTTATTAGATTACTTTATAATATGAAAGCCACTGTGCTGGGAGCCAGAGACACAAAGACAAAAAATGAATTAATTCCTGATTTCAAGGAGCTTACATTTTTATTGGAGGGGTGCCATTATATTGGCAAAGTTGATATAAAATGGAAAATGACAGTTGTTGGAGAGATTATAGCAAGACAGGCATATCTTTTGGAAAAAAGTGAATTCTGCTCCAGAAAGTAATTTGGAATCATGTCTACATAGCCCTAAAATGTGCATACCCAGTGATACCAGTATTAGGCTTATTGCTGGTACTAAGGAGGCCAAAGAAAGAGGAAAAGGACCAACATTCACAAAAACATTTATAGAAGCTTTGTTTTGGTAGTGGGGAATAACTAGAAACTGAGAAATGGCAGAACAAATTATAGTATTTGAATATAATAGAATATTAATGTACCAAAAGGAATGATGAAAGCAATAGTTTCAGAGAAATCTGAAGAGACTCATGCTCAGAGAGGCATATTGAATTGAGCAGAACCAGGAGAACATTTTATGTGGGTACAATAACATTATAAAGAAAAATAATTTTGAAAGACAAGATTACTAATTAATGCAATGATCCAGAAAGTAAATGACAAAACATTTTATTTACCTCCTGATGGATGGATGATGTATTCAAAATGTAGAATGAAATATACATTTTTTTTTGACATGGCCAACGTGAGAATTAGTTTTGCTTGGCTATATGTATTTGTTTCAAAGTTTTCATTTTTCTTTTCTTTTTTTCCATTGGGGGTGAGAGTGAGAGAGAGGCTAGGGATAGAGTTGGAAAAAAAAAGAAGGAAAGAAAGATAGAAAAGAACAGAAAGATAAAAAGGGAATTGAAGCTTTTTTAAATATACAGAAGAAAAAAGAAGGGAGGCCAGAAAAAAAAATCGGAAATAATCTTGAAATCTTGAAAATTACAGTTGAATTTATTGTATTCTTAAAAATAAAAGCAAGCTCTACTTAACAAAAATTTACAGTTTGTATACAATCCTCTGGAAATGCTAACTTTATTTGATGTTTGCTAAGTTCAGAACAAAAATAATCAAAATTCTATTTCAAGAAACATACAACTAAGGTAATTTGTAGGCAGAGCAAACACAAATGACTGGGGTGGTCAGGATTCATATAGGAAGTAGTACTTGGGTTGAGCCTTTGAGGAGATAAAGAGGTGAGGAGAAGTATATTCCAAGCATGGAGCACAGTTGGTGCAAAAGCATGATGATGAAACATGAAATACCAAGTTCAGGGATGAGCTAGCAGTCCAATTTGGTTGGAATTTAGAATGCATGAATAGAAGCAATATATATCTAGAAAAGTATATAGAAACCAGCTTGTGTACAGCTTTAAATTATAGGCTAAAGGGTTGTTTTTTGTTTGTTTGTTTGTTTTAGGAGCAACATGGAGTTTTTGAATATATTTGAGAGTTCTGCTTCTAGGAGACAAGATAGTGGAGTAAGAAGTAAGTTGCTTTCACTGTCTCTTATTAACCTCAGAAAGCCCAGAAAATATCGCCCCAGGAAAAATCCTGGAACAGCTAAACCAGAAGAAAGATGGGATGCAGCAGTCTGGTAGCCTAGGAAGCTTGAAGGATTAATGGGAAAGGCCCCTCTTGCCCTGGGGGTGGGGGAGAGTACAGAACAGGAGTTGTCCCACCCAGCAAGCTAGTGGAAAGCCTTACCTCAGCATACCCAGGGGGAAATCCTGAACCCCAGGTGGTGGAGCAGGCAAGCACCAACACCAGGACCTCTGAGTGTCTCAAGATGGGCAGGGGAACCAGTGGAAAACAGGTTGGAAAACCACTACGTGCTATGGCCTTCTACAGCGGCCAAGTCTCCCAGTGCCTCAGCAAAACTCTGGGAAGTACAATTCCAAGGGGGAAAGCACTAGGTGGAGAAACATCCTACAGCAGTGAAACATTCATCTGAAAGAAGCCAAAGAAAGTGCAAGGAAAGGCCCAGGTGAGCAGGCAACCTCCAGGGGCCAGACTACCTAATCCTATCCCTGGACTTCTAGTGTTGCTGATTCCACCCCAACAACAGGTAAGCTGCCAGAACCCTACAGCCTCCAACTGCCAGCATTGGAGGTCCCAGCACACAAAGCCAGTGATCAGGCCCCAGGCTCCCAATACAAGAAGCTTGGGTCAGTGCCCCCTGCTCCCCAGTGGGGCAGCTTAATCTTTTTAAAAGCCAGGAAATAAGCAAACACCATGAGCAAAAAGAAATGTACTATAGATTCTTATTATGGGAATAGTGAAGATCAAGGCAGAAATTCTGAAGAGGACAACATTGTCAAGAAACCCACATCTGGAACCTCAAAAGGGAATATGAACTGGTCTGAAGCCCAAAAAGCCTTCTTGGAAGAGCCCAAGAAAAAAAAAATCAAATAAGAGAGGTAGAAGAAAAATTGGGAAAAGAAATAAGAGTATACAAGAGAGAGTCAATAGCTTGAAAAAGTAAGGAGAAAAATTAACTGAAGAAAATAACTCCTTTAAAAGCAGAATTGGCCAAACAGAAAAGGAGATGCAAAAACTCACTGGGGAGAACAATTCTTTAAAAAATAAAATGGACCAAATGGAAAAGGAGGTATGAAATCTAACAGAAGAAAACAGTTTGTTAAAACTTGGAATTGGGCAGGGGCAGCTAGGTGGTGCAGTGGGTAGAGCCCCCACCCTGGATTCAGGAAGACCTGAATTCAAATCTGGCCTCAGATATATAACACTAGCTGTGTGACCCTGGGCGAGTCCCTTAATCCCATTTTATAGCAAAAAAAACCTAACCAACCAAATAAACAAATGAAAAAAAATTAGAATAGGGTAAATGGAAGTTAATGACTCTGTGAGAAAGCAAGAATCAGTCAAACAGAAACAAAAGAATGAAAAAATAGATGAAAACACAAAATACCTCATTGTTAAAACCTATGAAATTTATTCTAGGTAAGACCTAGAAAATCTATCCAGGGGAGACAATTTAAAAATTATTGGTCTACCTGAAAATCATGATGAGAAAAAGATCCTGGACAGAATCTTTTAGGAAATCATGAAAGAAAGCTGCCCTGAGGTCCTTAGAACCAGAGGGTAAAATAGCCATAGAAAGAATCTACCAATTGCCTCCTAAAAGAGATACCAAATTGAAAATTCCAAGGAATATAGTAGCCAAATTCCAAAATTACCAGGTCAAAGAGAAAATACTGCAAGCAGCCAGAAAGAAACAATTTAAATATCATGGTACCATAGTCAGGATTACACAAGACCTTGCAGCTTCTACCTTAAAAAATCATAGGGCATGGAATATGATATTCCTCAACAAAGGAGCTTGGATTACAACCAAGCATCAACTACCCAGTGAAAATGAGCATAATATTTCAGGGGAAGAGATGGACATTTGACAAAATAGGGGACTTCCAAACCTTCCTGATAAAAAGACCAGAGCTCAACAGAAAATTTGATCTTCAAATACAAGGCTCAAGAGAGACATAAAAAGGTAAACAGAACAGAAAAAAAGACAACATTTTATTAATAAGGGCAAACTGTTTACATCCCTACAAGGGAAGATAACTCTTGTAACTCTTGAGAACTGTATTGTTATTATACCATTTTAAAGGGGTATACATAAGGGGGTGAGTGTAAGTTGACTTTGATGTAATGATAAAAAAATCTAATCAAGTGGGTTACATGGATCTAAGTAAGTGGATTAATATGATCTAACTAAGGGAATGTACTGGGAGAAAAAGAAAGGAGGAGGCAGGCAAGGGCAAATTACCTTACAGGAAAAGGCACAAAAACCTATTATAATAGAGGGAAAGCAGGGAGGGAGATGAGCGCTGTTTGAACGTTGCTCTCATTAAACTTGGCTCAAGGAGGAAATAACATAATCAGTTAGGTATGGAAATCTAACTTGCCCTATAGGCAGTAGGAGGGAAAAGGGGAAAGAAAAGGGAGGGGAGATAGAAGGGAGGGAAGTAGTAAAGGCAAAAGGGAAGAAAGGGGAGGGAGTTAATAGAAGGGAGGCAGGACTGAGGGAGGCAGTGGTCAAAAGCAAAACTACTGAGGAGGGAAGGGGAGAAAGGAGAAAGAAAAGCATAAACAGGGGAGAAATAGGATGGAGAGAAAGACACAGATAGTAATCATAACTGTGAATGTGAATGGGATGAACTCTCCCATAAAATGGAAAGATAGCAGAATGGATTAAAAACATAATCCTACAATATGTTGTTTACAGGAAACACATTTGAAAAGAGGACACACACAGGGTAAAGGTAAAAGGCTAGAGTAGACTATATTATGCTTTAGCTGAAGTAAAAAAATCAGGGGTAGCAATCCTGATTTCAGACAAAGCAAAAACAAAAATAGATCTTATACAAAAGATAAGAAAGGAAACTACATCCTGCTAAAAGACACCATAGACAATGAAGTAATATCATTACTAAACATATATGTACCAAATGCTATAGCATTCTAAATTCTTAGAGGAGAAGTTCAGCGAGTTATGGGAAGAAATAGACAGGAAAACTATACTAGTGGGGGACCTCAACCTCCCCCTCTCTGAACTAGGTAAGTCTAACCACAAAATAAACAAGAAAGAAGTTAAGGAGGTGAATAGAATTTTAGAAAAGTTAGGTATGATAGACTTCTTGAGAAAATTGAATGGGGATAGAAAGAAATATACTTTTTTTCTAAGCAGCACATGGCACATACACAAAAATTGACCATGTATTAGGGCATAAAAACCTCACAATCCAATGCAGAAAAGCAGAAATATTAAATGCATCCTTTTCAGGTCATGATGCAGTAAAAATTATATGTAATAAAGGGCTACAGAAAGATGGACCAAAATTCATTGGAAACTAAATAATCCAATTTTTAAGAATGAATGGGTCAAACAACAAATGATAAAAACAATCAATAATTTCATTCAAGAGAATGAAAATAATGAGACAGCATACCAAAAATTATGGGATGCAGTGAAAGCAGTTCTTAGAGGAAGTTTTATGTGTCTAAATGCTTACATGAATGAAATAGAGAAAGGGGAGAACAATGAATTGGGCATGAAACAAAAAAAAATAGAAAAAGAACAAATTAAAAATCCTCAATTAAATACCAAATTAGAAATACTTAAAACCAAAGAAGAGATGAATAAAATTGAAATTAAGAAAACTATTGAACTAATAAATAAAACTAAGAGCATGTTTTATGAAAAAACCAATAAAATAGATAAACCTTTGGTTAATTTAATTAAAAAAAGAAAAAAAATTACCAGCATAAAACATGAAAAGAGTAAATCCACCAACAATGAAGAGGAAATTAAAACAAGAATTAGGAACTATTTTGCCCAACTGTATGCCAATAAATTTGACAACCTTAGTGAAATAGATGAATATTTACAAAAATATGAATTGCCCAGAATAACAGAAGAGGAAGTAAAACACTTAAATAACCCCATCTCAGAAAAAGAAATTGAAAAAGGCATTGACGAACTCCCTAGGAAAAAATCTCCAGGGCCAGATGGATTTACAAATGAATTCTGTCAAACATTTGGAGAACAATTAATTCCAATACTGTATAGATTATTTGGGAAAATAGGTGAAGAAGGAGTCTTACCAAATTCTTTTTATGATACAAATATGGTGCTGATACCTAAACTGGAAAGAGTCAAAACAGAGAAAGAAAATTATGGGCCAATTTTCCTAATTAATATAGATGCAAAAGTTTTAAATAAAATATTAGCAAAGAGATTACAGCAACTTATCACAAGAATAATACACTATGACCAGGTAGGATTTATACCAGGAATGCAGGGTTGGTTCAATATTAGGAAAACTATCAGCATAATTGAGCATATCAACACCCAAACCAACAGAAACCACATGATCATCTTGATAGTTGCAGAAAAAGCTTTTGACAAAATCCAACACCCATTCCTATTAAAAACACAGAGATCACAGGAATAAAAGGAGTCTTCCTTAAAATTAAATATATCTACTAAAACCTTCAGCAAGCATCATATGTAATGGGGATAAGCTAGAAGTATTTCCAATAAGATCAGGGGTGAAACAAGGATGTCCATTATCACCACTGTTGTTCAATATCACACTGGAAATGTTAGCTTTAGCAATAAGAGAAGAAAAAGAAATTGAAGGTATTAGAATAGGCAAAGAAGAAACAAAGCTATCACTCTTTGCAGATGACATGATGATATACTTAGAGAATCCTAGAGAATCAAATAAAAAACTACTTGAAATAATAAACAACTTTAGCAAAGTTGCAGGCTATAAAATAAACCCACATAAATCATCAGCATTTCTATATATTACCAACAGAGCCCAACAGCAAGAGATAGGAAAGAGAAATTCCATTTAAAGTTCCTGTAGACATTATAAAGTATTTGGAGTCTACCTACTGAAACAACCCCAGGAACTACCACAATTACAAAACACTTTTCACACAAATAAAATCGGATCTCA